CGGTTGGGTTATTTTGCAGAGCAGCGCTCCAAAGAAGGGCCCTCCTCGATTTCGCTCCCCCCCCGAGCCCTCAAGACCGCCTCGGGCCCTCTTGGGACCCTTTTGCTGTCCTCGTGGGGCTCTCGTGTGGCTCTTTGTGGGCTCTCACGGGCCGTCTTGGGGTCTTCTCGAAGGCCCAGTGGCCCATCGGATGCGACGTGGCGGGGTTGTATCAACCGTTGAAACATGACCCAGGACGTACCCGTCCCTTCTCCACGCGAGGCGACTGTTTCTATGAACGCCTGGGTTTGCGTGAACATCCACTCCGTTGCACCTGCCAGGTGCCCACCAACGTGGAGACAGTTGCGTAGCTGGCAGCTTCTCAGGGAGCCGCGAGGTCTCGCCCGACTACCGCCTCCGCTGGACCTCAGAGGAACCCAGGGCAGTGGCGACAATTGCGCAGTTGGTAGGCTCCCAGGGAGCCGCGAGTTCTCGCCTGACCACCGCCTGCGCTGGACCTCACAGGAGCCCGAGAAAGTGGCGAAAGTTGCGCAGTTGACAGCCTCCCAGGGAGTGGAGCACGAGGAGGAGGAGGAGTAGGAGGCGGAGGAGGAAGAGGATGAGAATAAGGACGAGGTGCGACCGCAGTGCTATAGTCAGCACAAGGATCGAACGCAGGAGGGCTGGAACCAACTTCATGTTTGAAAGATTCGGGCTTCTTGGTGTGGCCCACGGGTGGTCCAAAAGTAGGTTTTGTGGCCCTTCTGAGGCCTCTCGGCAGAATCTCGGAAGCTATCGCAAACTATCTTCGCACACGTTGAGCGATAGCGGAGGCCATTTGGGGCCGTCTTGGAGCCATCCTGTGCCCACAAGGACCGTCTGCCACCTCGCGGGGGGCCCTTCCAGACCCATGGTGGGGGAGGCAAGGTCGAGACACCCTCCCCGCCCGCAAGGCATCTCGCCTACAGGCGTCCTCCCAACACATGAGCAGCACACGGGCATCGGCATGATCAGCGGTCGTCTTTGGATGGGCAGCTACTGGGAGCCAAGACAGGCACCCCGTGCCCGAAGCCGGGAGGGAGTGCGCCACGCGCGCCAAGCGCGCCGCGCGCGCCAGGTTCGCCAGGCGCCCCTGGGGCCCAAGCGTGCCAGGCGCGCCGGGTGCTCCACGTGCCCCATGCGTGCTGCGTGCGCCAGCCGCGCCAGGTGCGCCACGTTTGGGCTACGCGCAGAGTGCGCAGGTGCGCCCGCGCACGCGACAGCACACACGGGGAATCACGTCGGCCCCCGCCGTCTCCGTCGAAAGCCAGTGCGCAATCGCGGCGGGGTGGCCATCATGGTGTCGGGTGGGCCTGCAAACAGCAGGCAATATGCCAGCATCCCCGCTGTCCCTGTCAAAAACTCGTGGGCGCTGATCGCGCATGATTTCGATTCAGCAGCCGGGACGTGCGCTTTGCATCGTTTTTGGTAGTCATGGTGGCCCTGCGCGCAGCAGGCGGTGTACCGCATCCGTCCTTGTCAAACACAAGTACGAAGTGCTCGCGGGGCCCACGAGCATGACCCAAGATTTTGTTCCCAAGTGTGCGGCGTATTTTTTGTGAGAGATTGTGGGGGGAGGCCTCATGTGGACGGGTCGGCTGCTGGTCGCCTGGGGGAGGGGATGTTTATCAATAGCGAGCATTGGTCAAACTACCCCCGCCCCCCCTGGAGGACACGGCCGTCTCGCTGAACGTCAGCTTGTGATGGACAATTGACCGGACCCCCCCCCGGGGGCTGATGAATAGACCCCGCGAGTCGATTTTTTTTTGGGGGGGTCAATCACGCGTGCCAGGGGGTCGTCGCTGCCACCGCCGAGGGGATCGTTCACCCCCCTGCATGACCGCCTCAAAACGATTGTCTTTCGCATAGAAGTCTGAATAGAGTTCATACATATCCGAGGCGAATGCTTGTTCCCCTCTCAGGTGTCGTAGTCGTCGTCGTCGTTGTTTTCTTCGGCTTCTTTTTGTCTTTTTTTGTTTTTCTTCTTCTTCTTCTTATTTGTCTTCTTCGTCGTCCTTGTCGTCGTCGTCTTCATCGTCGCAGGCGTCGACTACAGCGGGCCTGCGCAGCACCCCCCCCCCTGCCATAGGGCATCCGCAGTGCGTCGTCGTCGTCGCCGGCCGCCGTCGCCGTCCGCCGTCCGTCGTCGTCCTCGTCCTCGTCCCGTCGTCGCCGTCGTCGTCGTCGTCGACGATTACAGAGACTACAACAGAAGGGGGGGAGGAGGACTGCCCGCCTTGCTCGGGTCGGACGAACAGCTGGGGAAGGAAAGGGGCGATTGCGAAACCTGCGGCGCGCTGCTGGTTTCGGTCGCCCCGCCGAGGGTCCAGTCCTCGATGCATGGCCGCTTTCTGCGCCAGGGGGCGCTCGCAAAATAAGCTATGTGAGCTGCTGGGCCTATTCCCCTCTTGGCCACGCCCCTTTTCGTCCAGCCCGCCTTTCTCGGGGGCCCGCGTGGCAGCTGGCAGCCCCTTGGCTGCGGCCAGCGCAAAGGAAGCGCATCGGTCCGACAGAAAAGAACTCGGAATGTGCGGGGTGAGCGCCGACAGTAGTCCTGCTGCGTTTCAAACAGGTGTCGCCCTGGCTCACGGTCCCTGCGTTTGCCGCCTTTGCCTCCCGCCCCCCTCCCCTCCCCCAGTCTGTGCTGTCTGTCGCGTTTTCGTTGGCGGCGGGGCGGCGGCGCTAATCACCGGCGCCGCCCCGTTGATTTTCAATCTGGCGGGCGCCATCCCGCAATTCGCCCGAACAGGGGGATTTGTTTTAAACGCGCGACCCCCACGGACTTGTGAACCACACGCTTACATTTTTCGCACCCGCCCTCCCGCCACATATGTAACACTCAAGTCTCACCATGGGTTGGGGCCGCAATCGACCATCATCGGAAGCCAATGCAGGCGCCAGCCAGGTGCGCGACGCCTGCGAGGTGCGCCGCGCGTGCCAAGGCACACCTATAACCCCCGCCAAGTAACAATTCGAAGTGGTCGCGGGGCGCCCGCGCATGATTGATACTGAAAACAAAAATGTAGTTTCGTCTTTGGCAGGGACGACCTGCCTGCGCGCAGCATGCAATATATCGGCCTTGTCGCAAACCAAAAAATTGCAACGTGATCGGTTTGTTATCGCGCGTGATCCAGATGTTGCCGCAACGTGCAATGTGTATTATTATGTTGCAGGGATGTCGGGGGGGGGCATGGTTCCGGGGTGTGCCCACAGTCAGGTGGGGATGGGTGTACATTCGTACGGACAAGGCATGCACGCTTCCCCGAGGGGGAAGAAGAGGCATTGGAAGAAAAAGTGTCGAGCCCGCTAGACCATATTGGCCTCGAGGCCTGGTGGGATGTGGGCTTAACGGGCGCAGGGATGTTGGCAAATGACGGTTTTCAGACACGTTTGCTAAGATCTAGTGGTAACGACGTTCATTAGTCCAGCGGCCTCCACCTTCTCGTCTTCCTCCTCCCCTCATCTTTACGTATCGTCATGATCCACCTTTTCTGTTTATCCGTTTGGTTTTTGTCCTTATCATCATGATCTTGTTGTTGCTGGCCGTCCACCTTCTACGCCTCCTCGCCATCGCCTTCCACCTTCCCCTCCCGTTTTCCCAATTGCCATCACCCTTTCAATCTTCTCTGTCCTCCTTCCAGTTTTTCCCCACCATCCTGTGGTGTTGGGTCCTCGTTTTGAAGAAACGGTCCCCGCGTGTCCTCTTCCCGTGCCCCCCCCCCCCCCCCCCCCCCGTGGGGGTACCACATGCGTCCGCCACGCCCAGTACAGCGTTTCGGGGCCCGACAGGGAGCTCCACGTAAGGCCCCTGTGGGGGTACCACATGCGTCCGCCACACCCAAAACAGCGCTTCGTGGCCCCACAGGGGGGTTCCACGTAAGGCCCCAGTGGCGGTGGCCACATGCGTCCGCCACACGCATTACAGCGTTCCGTGGCACCACAGGGAACTCCACGTAAGGCCCCATTAAGGTTGGCCACATGCGTCCGCCACACCCATTACAGCGCTTTATGGCCTCATAGGGAGCTCCACGTAAGGCCCCAGTTGGGGGTACCAATTGCGTCCGCCACACCCAGTACAACGCTTCGTGGCCACATAGGGAGCTCCACGGAAGGCCCCAGTTGGGGGTACCACGTGCGTCCACCATACCCAGTACAGCGCTACGTGGCCCCATAGGAAGCTCCACGAAACGCCCCAGTGGGGGTGCCACGTTCGTCCGCCACACCGATTACAGCGCTTCGTGGCCCCAGAGGGGGAACCCCACCCAAGGCCCCAGTGGGGATGGCCATTTGCGTCCGCCGCACCCAGTACAGCGCTTCGTGGCCCCATAGGGAGCTTCACCGGGGCCCCAGTGGGGGTGGCCACATGCGTCCGCCACACCCATTACAGCGCTTCGTGGCACCATAGGGAGCTCCACGTAAGGCCCCATTAGGGGTGGCCACATGCGCCCGCCACACCAAGTGATGCGCTTCGTGGCCGCATAGGGAACTCCATCGGAGGCCCCAGTAGCGGCGGCCACGTGCGTCCGCCACACGCAGTACAGCGTTTGGTGGCCAGTGGGACCGTCCGCATGCGCCCCGCACACCCAATTTCACATTTTCACCCACCCAGTACAGCGCTTCGTGGCCCCATAGGGAGCTCTACCGAAGAAGATATTCACTATTGCGGTTCCCGCAACTGCACATTGTTGGGTCCTTCGCCCAAATTATTCATCACCTTCCATCCGCTCCCACGCCTCCTGCCTCCCGCCTTCCTCGTCTTCCCTCTCACCCACAGTCGTTCTCCCTTTCCAAATTACTCCGGGTTCCCTACTCCCTCCTACCTCGTCTTCCCACCTTCTTGGCATACTTCCTCCTCTACCCTCGTCCTCCTCGTTGTCCTCCTCCTTTCTAATCGTTGTCCGCCCACTCGTTAATCGAGGCGCGCTGAACTCGTAGTTTCGAGGATAAGTTTTGTATTCATGTTGCGCCGTCTTGCGCTACAGGGCAACAAGCGAAGACGACTGGATCGCCAACTTCGTCACGGGGCAAGTGGAATCCTCATCTAGTAATAGTGGCACTCCGACGTCAAGTTCGACTGCCGTCGGCTTAGAGCTGGTACAGTCCCAGGATCCTTTCGCAACCTGCGGCAACGTGCGGTTTCCCCATGATGCTCGCTGGATCCATGAATGGACCGTGAAATGTTGTTAGCTGCTGGCAGACAGTGTGCGCCAGCCTCAGAGAAATCTGAGCCGGCTCCTCATAGCGGCACGTAACAGAATTTCTGAGCTCGAGCGAATTTCAAACAGCGCGAGCGCACGAAAGCACAACGCGTCAACTGGCGTGTCCGGGTTTTCGCCCGGCTGCCGCCCGTCGCCGCCTCGTCGCCGCCTTTGTGCTGTGGCTGGGGTACTCTGGTCTTCGCCCGACCGTCCTGAGGGGGAGAGGGAGGGGGAGGGGGAGGGGGAGGAGGAGGAGGAGGAGGAGGAGGAGGAGGAGGAGGAGGAGGAGGCGGAGGAGGAGGAGGAGGAGGAGGAGGAGGAGGAGGAGGCTCTGGTGGCTGGGGTACTCTGGTGGCTGGGGTACTCTGTTGCCAAAGGTGTCCCTGGGCCAAGGTGTCCCCTCTCACTCCACAGCACCCCTCACGAGTGCGAGAGAGCCCTAGGGGGTTGCAGAATGGCGTGGGAAGCTGGGCACACATTCGGCCAGGACCATTTGTGGCAATCCCCGGCAGTTGCAAGAGGTTGCGACACTCATGTATTTGAGAGTCACATGTATCCATATTGATCGAGAGGGTTCGAATATACCCCTATGTCGAGGCCGTGCTTATCCCCTCGCTTCCGCAAATTCCGTTTCAAATGATGTTGTTTGATTCTAGAGCGTCGACCAGATTATGTTTACAAGACCGGCATCGCCTCTACCCACTCCGCACTTTTGTCAAATAACATCATGAGCTGCACACAAGTCGTTCTAACATATGCGTTTGCATCAATCCGTAGTAACATGCGCGCGCAAATGTCTAAATCCGTCCACCACCACGTGCTTCAACCCGTTCCCCAAACAACAGACATGAACACACAATATTTGGACCAATAAAGATTGCTGTGCGCTCGCAAGAGATGACAACACACCCAAAGCAGTGGCCTGCGTTGTCAATCTCACGACAGGGATCAGGCGGGCCGGCTGTGCCGAAGTCATTCAGCAATCATCGCAATCCCGCGGACACTGCCAGGTAACAGTGTGCAGGTCGCAAGCGCGCGCCTCCGCGCGCACACCACGAAATTCTTACAAGCCAGTTGATTTCTAAGCTTATCAAAACCGGTGCCGTAAGTAACACTGGAGACCCAAAGTATCTCGAACGTAAAATATCTTGAAGATATGAATTCTTGATCGCGCGCACATGTTCTAATCGTCCTCATCCGTGCCAGCGTTGTCACGATCGCCCATCAGCATCCCTTGAGTACCATCACCATTGTCGTCGTCTTCACCCCCACCGCAGTCATCATTATCATTATCATCATCATCATCATCATCATCATCATCATCATCATCATCATCATCATCATCATCATTATCATTATCACCATCATAGCATGACATGACCGTCGTTGTCACCTCCCTCGTCGCCAGTGCAGCAATCATCCTCACCCGCCCGCCCGAATCATTGGTTTGCATGGCAAGGGCATTCGCAAGCCGCGGGTGGGTGGATGAGAGATGTGTTTGCGCATTGGAGTTGGCGACGAGCATTGGAGCTGGTTACCCGTAAGTTGGCCAAGAGGTTGCACCACTTTGACTGAGGCACATGCACTGCGCCATATGCCATGCAAGATCGGACCATGTAGATAGCACCACATTGATTTCACAGCGTCGATAGTCTGCATCTCATAATAGACACGTCCAGAATGCAAGAATTCACCGTTCTGGGTCCCCGCTTGCAAATATTTTCTGCTTGGCAAGCCCACTGAGCATTGCTGGGAGTGGGGAGGCAGGATATGGAGAAGGATGAGGAAGACGATGTTGCTGAGGTCGTCAAGGGGGAGATCGATGTCACGGGCGTTTTCTCTGCTTCGCAGGCGTCCTCTCTGACTGGCCACTTGGTGAATCTGGTCATGGATCTCTCCGGCCTCCCAGGGGTCAGCTGGGAATCGTCCGAGGGCGCTAACAGGGTAGACTACACGTTTCTCTTACTGCCAGATGATGCAAGTCAAGCGGCTTCTCTGGTGTCTAAGTTTTACCTGGAGTGGACTCAGGGAGTGCTAAAAAACGATCTGAGCTCCAGGGTCAGTGCAGACTCTGGGCTGGGAGGAGTTACGCTGAATTTGGTCCAATTGGCTGCGGTTAGTTCGGTGATTGGCCAGCAAGCTATCACCCCTCCTCCCACGACAGCCACGGTGGTCACATCGACGTCCACGTTTCACACAACGACTACCTCGCAGGCCACGTCCACGGCGAGTACCACGACAGCGATCACGTCGTCTTTGACGTCGATGTCTGAATCTTCGACGACGGCACACACGACGACGGAGACACAGGCCACGTCCACGGGAACTCTCACGAGCGAGACGGAGTCTTCTGTTAGCACCACCGCGCTGGCCAACATCTTTACCTCTTCCACCACCACAACCAGCGCGCCTGCGGTCATCTACGCGACATCCACCACCACGGCGGGCGTGCTGGCGGCCGCCGCGGACAGCGACGATGGCGTAGGCCCCCTCGTCTTCGTGCTCTGCGGAGCCGGCATGGCCCTGCTGTGCCTCGGATGCTGTGCGGCAGTGTTCGTGTATTGCATGAGCCTGTCAGCGGAACAGATGGAGGCGCACTTTGACCGGTCGAGGTCGCTCGTCGTCTTCAAGAAGCCGCTCCAGCGCTTCCATTCGAAGTTCTCGGCTGGGTCGTTGGACGGCTCGCCCAAAAGCAGGGGCAGTGACCAATCCAAAAACACCTTCTTCTGCGGCGAAAGGGACACCGTCCTGAACCAGTTTGCCCAGGCCCACAGGAGAACGAGACAGAGAGAGGACAGACAGATATGCCGATACCTTTGCCCAGCCCATTTTTTCGGGCCTTTCTGGGCCTCCTGAGAGGACCTCGTCGCCACGGTTGGATTCGCCTCGGAGCACAGGTCAGAGCCCGCCCCGGGAGAGGTGCATGAAGTAGCGGCCGCAGTGACAGGAAATATCTGCTTTTATTCTTTTCAGAAGACGCTTGGCATGGCAGCCTGGGAGTCAGTATCGTTGACGACCTTTTGGGGTTATACCACAAACAGTGCTTACACTTCGGGGTATCTTATTCCTGTTCAAAGGAATTGGGCGTGTGCGTCGGTCTGACGGCTATGTTGCCGCCGTTGCCGCCCCGTCGCCGCCTCGTCGCCGCCCGTCGTCTTGGCCTGTGCGTCGGTCTGGCGGCTTTGTTGCCGCTGTCGCAGGCCCGTCGCCGCCTCGTCGCCAGCCGTCGTCTGGTCACATAGATTGCACCCAATTTATTGCACCGCGTACATGACGCAGTATAGGTTGCACCTCGCAGACTGCACAGTGTCGATTGCAAAACATACACTGTACCACATCGATTGCACCAGATGAATTCCATCACGCTGACTTCGCCTCATATCAGAGTGAAGGGGGCGAGCAGTCATTCATTGTCCCTGGGTGCTTGGCTGACGTGGGCTTCTGCGGATTGGTGATGTTGTTGTTGCGGTGCACATTGTATTTTACCATTGAAATGCCTTTCCCGGGGCTCGCACCCTGTTTTTTTCTATCAGGGAAAATTTTGAGGTTCAAACTGGGCCCCTGGCCCCCGGGTTACAACAACAACGGTTCCCGCCTGAGACTGCCTCACAATTTAGCCCGCACCCCCGCTCCCTCCGGACACTTCCTCGCATTTTATTCAGGAATTGCGCTCTCGCTTGGGACTTCCTTCCAATTTATTCAAGAATCGCTCTTTCGGCGCTCTAGAGTCGCGCTCTCTCTGGAGACTTGCTTGCAATTTACTCAGGAATAGCGCCCTTGCGTTTGAATTTCCCGCAAGTCACTCAAGCGCCGCGCCCCCGACACTCAGGCACCCAGGAGTCGCGCTCACGCTTAGGACTTCCTCGCAGATTATGTAGGAATCGGGATCTCGCTGCCCTTCGTGGTCCCGTAGCAGCCCTTCGTGGCCCCGTCGCTGCCCTTCGTGGACCTTTTGCAGCCCTTCGTGGCTCCCTCGCTGCCCTTCGTGGCTCCATTGCAGCCCTTCGTGGCCCCCTCGCTGCCCTTCGTGGCTCCGTTGCAGCCCTTCGTGGCTCCCTCGCTGCCCTTCGTGGCCCCGTTGCAGCCCTTCGTGGCCCCTTCGCTGCCCTTCGTGGCCCCGTTGCAGCCCTTCGTGGCTCGTTCGCTGCCCTTCGTGGCCCCGTCGCAGCCCTTCGTGGCCCCCTCGCTGCCCTTGGTGGCCCCGTTGCTGCCCTTCGTGGCCCCTTGCTGCCCGTCGTGGCCCCGTTGCAGCCCTTCGTGGCCCCCTCGCTGCCCTTCGTGGCCCCGTTGCAGCCCTTCGTGGCCCCTTCGCTGCCATTCGTGGCCCCGTTGCAGCCCGTCATGGCCCCCTCGCTGCCCTTCGTGGCCCCATATATGTATGCCCTTCGTTGCCCCCGCTCGTTCGCGCCCGTCCTGGATGCCCTTCGTGGCCCCGCTCTCGCCCTTTGCGGCCCCCTCGCTGCCCTTCGTGGCCCCGTTGCTACCCTCAGTGTCCCCGTCCTTGCCTTCCGCGGCCCAATATACGTATGCCCTTCGTGGCCCCCGCTCGTTCGCGCCCGTCGTGGCCCCATGTGCATGCTTTTCGTGGCCCCGCTGTCGCCCTTCGTGGCCCCCTCGCTGTCCAACGTAGCCCAGTTGCTACCCTCAGTGGCCCCGTCGTTGCCTTCTGTGGCCCCGCATTATCTGCCGTTCGTGGCCCCCGCTCGTTCGTGCTCTTTGTAGCCCCATACGCGTTCCCTTCGTGTCCCCGCTGTCGCCCTTCGTGGCCTACTTCGTGTGCCCTTTGTGGCCCTGCTGTCGTTCTCTCTCTCTCTCTCTCACTTTCGGTGTCGCTCGTCCTCGTCGTCATCGACGTCGTCGCCGTCGTCGTCGTCGTCGACGTCGTCGTCGTCGACGTCGTATTCGTCGTGGTCGCTCCCCTGTCCGTCCCTCTTGGGGTCAGGTTGCCGCCGGTCAGCGCTGCCGCTGGCCAGGCCGACGGTCCGCGGCCGCCCCGCCGCTTGCCAGGGCCTGGCCTGCAGGGAAGAAAGGTATATTCTCAAAAGGGATACGATCGAAGACGAAGAGGGCGGGTATCGAGGGTTTGGGAAATACGCGTTAACGGACACTCGGGCAGATACAAGCGAACTGTTTTAAAATTATTGTTGCTGTTGTTGATGATATTAATGTTGTTTGTTGTTGTTGCTGCTGTTGGTATGGTTATTGGTGGTGTTGTTGGTGGTGGTTGCTGGCTGTTGTGATTGATGTGTGTTGTCGTGTTGTTCTTGTTGTTGCTGCTGCTGTTGTTGCTGCGGACGACCATTTCTCATTCCCAAAAAGTTTTTTTTGCTGATCTCCGGAAGCGGTTCCGCGCGCTCTCGCCTCGAAGCCAGCAACATTTTCTCTGAAAGCGGGGCTCCCGCTCTAGCGTTGGCTTGAGCTTAAACGTGGGCTTTAGAGGCCCAGCTGCGACAACAACGGTTCCCGCTCGATACTTCCTCACAATTTACCCCGGGACACCCTGGCAAGGGAGGCCCCCGCACTTAGGAACGGCGATATCGCTCGAGACTTCCTCGCAAGTCAAATAGGTTGGCGGAGGTCCAGCCACGACGACAAGGGCTCCTGTTCGATACTTCCTCACGATCTACTCCGAGAGCCTCTGGCCAACAAGGCCCCCGAACTCAGGAACGGCGCTCTCGCCAGAGACTTTCCCGTAATTCAGGCAAGTTGGTGGAGGCCCGGACACGACGAGAAGGGCTCCCGTTCTATATTTCTCCATTGGTATTCCGAGAGCCCCTGGCCAGGAGGTCCCCGAATTCAGGAACGGTGCTCTCGCTCGAGACTTCTTCGCACTTCAGTCAGTGGCCGACAAGGACGAGATTCCCCCCGAAACGGGGTGCAATCGAAGACGAAGTGGGCGGGTATCGAGGTTTGGGGTATACGGAATGCAAGACACGCGTGCCAGCAAAGCGAACAAGCTTAACATCATTGTTGTTGTTGTTGATGTTGTTGTTGGTGTTGTTGTTGTTTGTTGCGTGTTGTTTTGGTGTTCGTTGTTTGTCGTTTGTTGTTGTTTGTTGTTTGTTTTCGTCGTCCCGCCCTTGACCCGGCCCGCGACCAACCCGCGACCCAACCGTGAACCACCCGCGACCCCCCCGCGACCCACACACCCACGCCCCGCCCCGCGTCTCGTTTCGCGACCTACCTGCGACCCACCCCGCGACCCGCCCGCAACCCGCCCACGACCCACTCGCGACTTTCGGCGCGACCCACCCACCACCCACCCGCGATCTACGCGCGACCCACGCGCGACCCACCCGCGACCCACCCCCGACGCACCCACGACCCATCTGCAACCCACCCGCCACCACTCGGGCGACCTACCCGCGACCCACCCCGCGCCCGCCCCCTCTTTGTTATCCGCAAGTGCGGGGTGCTACAAGTTGCACCACGCCGGTTGCACCACGTAGATTGCGGACCCTGCAGATTGCACCACACAGTTTGCACTACACATATTGGACCACCTATGTTGCACCGCCTAGGTTGCACCACGCATGTTTTACCACGTCGAGCGCACCACATATGTTGTTTCACACATGTTGTACAACCCATATTGCACAGCATAGATCGCACAACATGTGTCAGAAAAAGGGGGCCGAACGGCCATTCACTGTCCCTGGGTGCGTGACTGAAGTGGGTTTTTGCGGTTCGGATTGTTGCTGTTGTTGTTTGCTTGTTGGTTTGCTTGCTTGTTTGTTTGCTTGTTTGTGTTTTTTTTTGTTTGGTTGGTTGAGGGTGTTGTTGTTGGTGGTGGTGGTGGCGGTGTTTTTTTTTTTGTGTGTGTGTGTTGTTTTGCTGGTTGTTGCTTGTTGCTTGCTCGTTATTGTCTCCGTCCCGCCCGCTACTTGGCCCGCGACCCACCGGCGACCCACCCGCGTGCCACCCGCGAACCACCCGTGACCCACTCGCGACCCACCCGCGACCCACCCGTGACCCACCCGCCATTCAGCCCGCGACGCGCCCGCGATTCTCCCGCGACCCACCCCGTGACCCACCGCGCGACCCACCATGTAGATTTTCTTTCCTACAAAGGAAAAGACTCTACACCACCGGGATTATCGACACCCCTTTCCGCATTGCAATTCACATGATTTCTGCCCCATCCTAAATATGAACTCAGACCATCCCAGCCCAACAGGTATCGGCCCCCCCCCGCGATCCTGTGCAATAAATCATATGCGCGCCCACTCGCTCATCAAATATCACAAGTTTCCCAAATTGCCATTTTGCAAACAAATAGAACGAAGTGCACACGCGCGCGTCGCCGCAAGCGCATGCCGGCATCCTTCAAAAAACTTCGTGTTCGCTAGGATGTCAAAATCGAATGTTCAGAACAAATTAATCTACATGGTTTCGCAACACAGATTTCCACAAAACGCTTGCGCGCGATCTTGCGAATTCTCAAGAAAACCATTTTTCCCAGGATGCTCATCACATGCTACCAAGCGGGCTTCGCGCGCGCATGCCGAACTCGTTCAAACGCCCTTGCGCGCGTGCTGGGGTGGCACGATCCGAGTCCACGGGTCGCATGCGGACGACTCGCGCGTCTGCCGCGAGCGCACGTCGAACTCCTGCCAAAACTTTCATCACCGTCGGCGTGATCAGCATCGGCGCCGTAACTGGCTGCCCCGTCGTCGCTGCCAGCATCGTCGCCAGCATCGCTATTGTCATCATCGTGTCTACCGTTGTCGACGTTGCCATGATCCCGCGCCCGTCCAAGGCGCCGT